CATAAAGAAAAGTAATGCATGTAGTTCAAATGGCAGTTTGAGCCCAGGGCATATCTATGTTATAGGCAGCATTTTAAAATCAGTTATGAAGCAGAACTGATCCCAACTAATGTAAGCCAAAAGACCACGCTGTTTATCTAATACACTGATACTTTTGTTCACCTCAGATTGTTGTTATTTTGTCTAGGGTTAGGCCTGTCTAAAGATGTAATTTAGAGGTATAGAAACTGTATTGGCATTATGGAAAGTAGGGAATGCATTATATTTTTTCTTACTCATGAAAATATTGAATTCCATTAAAATAACAGAATGGATGAAATATGAATTAAAGAACTTATTTCGCAACCTAACTATATATTATATTGGTGTTTAAACATATTAATTATGATTAATTGAATTTATAACTAGCTTTTCTTGATATTTTATGTCAATTAAACAATGAGTGACTAATGTTGAAAGCAATTCAACAAGGTGCTTTGCACCCTGAGAAGTTGTGTGCATCAGACATAGCAAGGAGCAACTTCCAAAGCAGCCACAGATGCCTGGAAAAAGAGCTGGCTATTTTAATGATGTGAAGAAAGGTTCTTATTCATAGTAGCACTTTTTTTCAAATGCTTTACACGGGTCTATTTATTGCAATATTTTAATATTCAGATAATGAAAACATCGAAATTGATTGCATAAAAATACTACAAAATGAGGAAAACCTACTAAAATGTTCCAAGACTCATCCAATAGGAAAGTTGAAGTACTGAAATTATAAGAGCAATTTGAAAATCTTGATAATATTATGTAAGAATAATATAAAGCTAGAGTTGATGTTTATGTTCCTGTATTTAGATATCAAAAGGTATATGGTTGCATTGCACTGCAGAGCAAGAACTGGGCAAAAAGATTGCAGAGTTCATTGTTTACAGTGTAATAATAGCTATGTTATGGTGTGTTAATTAAAAGAATCACTCTTGTCAAAGTTTATCATAAATCTCCTCCTCCTCCTCCTCCTCCTCCTCCAGAGTGTACACCAAGGATATCCATGGCTCTAGTGTTTAATATAAGACTTAAACCTTTACTTGTTAAATCAGGTTTTTATTTAGACATAACTGAAGACAGGACTAGGAAATGTATATAAGATGCAAACTAATGCTTAATTTTTTAAACAACCTTTTCTGATTCAAAACTATTTGAATAATAAATTAATTATCTCTTTCAACATCCTTAATCAATTGAAACATGTCAGTAATCAAAATATAAAGAGATGATAGAATCTATTCTACATCTGACAGTTGTAGAATGGATTTTAATTTTTATAAAATACTTAAGGTTAATTATAGTGTGTCAAAAATAATTGTTTTTAATTGAATTCATCAGTAGATGAAAGAAAATGGCAGACTTAATAAAAATTCATTTTTCATGATGGGTAAAGATAAACATGTAGCAATTGGCATTTATTTTCATATATTTTAGATTTTTGGGTGGCTGTTTGCTAATATTAACTGCCTATATGGATGGGGAAACAACTTGGTCAATTTTTCCAAACTTCTGAAAGAAGAAGAAATAACTTCCTGTCTCAGCTTATATGTGTACGAATGACTGCTGTTCCAGCTTTGTACAAGAGTATACTATTGTTCAGGAGAATTCTTGTTTGGTTCCTTCCACAATCCTGACCCTGGAAGCTCTCTGAGCTGCTGGAATTATAATGAGCAGAAGGAATAACCTTAAAGAACAGGAGGAAGAGCTATTTCCAAGATAATGGTCAGATGAAAGAAACCTGAGTCTGGGGCAGAACTGAAACCTGAGAAAACATCTCAGCCAAGACCCTTCCTAGTTCTCATGAAGATAAAGGGAGAGTGGGGGAAAGTGCATTGAGACTTGCAAGGTTGATGTCAGCCCTTCATGGTAGATCAGATTAGGAAACCAAAATCATGCAGGCCAATACTGTATTTATTATAAGGTTATGGTAACAGAATCTTGCAAATTGTTTTGTTTTTGTTTTTGTTTGGATTTCTACAAACATTGTGGTTCTTCTAATCCCGCCCTGTTTGGCTTCATTTCTATATGTACTAAAAGGAGTTAGGATCATATTAAGATTTAAGTGCTGCAGCTCCTACAAATATTGTATTTATTTGTAGCTTGCCCATGAGCTAAGAAACTCTAAATACTAAATTTGGAGCATACAATAAAATTCAGATTGTCTAGATCTGTAGCAGTGTCAGAAAGGCACTTCAGTGTCAGTGTCAGAAAGACAAAAACCTATAATAGATCTCAGATTAATAGAGATTTTTGAAATTCCTACTTTAGCCCCATCTGCTAACATGTAAGCCAAATGGCAAAATCTTTAAACACTTTCAGGCAATTTGATGGATAATGCACAGGTACACTGAAGTTGTGAGATAACTTGGTTGGATTTACCAAAAAGTAATATTGTTATATATGAAGGTGTATTGATTCATCTTAGGGACCCTGATCAAGTTTCAAAATGAAATAGTATTTTAGCTACAGAGTATAAACCCATGAAAAGTTGTATAGGCTAAAGCTTGCACAATAAATTCTGTAATTATTCCCAGAGGCAATAAAAACTAAATGTAAATTCAGGAGCACAGATTTACCATTGTTTTTGTTCTTATGCAATTATTAAGAATAAAAGATATTAAATTATTAGTCTATGTATGAGATGACTTACTAGAACATAAACATACAAATATTAAAAGATATGAACAACTCTTGCACTCCTGTTTAGAAAGTAATAAAATGGAAATAGTAAGAGGCAATATTCAGTGAAACAAACTATACAAACAGAATTTTAGAAGTTCTACATAGAAGAATTTATTTTAAGAGTTACAAGAAAGAAACCTTTAACCTTATTAAAGGTTATCATTGGCTTTCCTTCCAGTGAAGAATATTAAAGAGTGCTATTAGGTGAAAGAGCCTGCATGTTGAATCTCTAGTCCTGAAAACCTAAGGATCTCTTTTTACATTACACACACACACACACACACACACACACACACACACACAGACTTGAACAATTTATTAATGCTAAGAATGCTTGCCTTCAAAAGTCAGTGAAAGAAAATATTGTTATTGTTTCTCTGCATTCCATTTTGTGATGAAGAGTACCTCTTTTGAATATGCTTGATGTGATTTGAAATTTACTATATTTTGAAATTCCATGTAAAGCTGAAGTTTTCAAGAACATGGTTCATTCATTTAAAGTAAAACTATTATTTGCATATTTATATTTGAACTAACTACTTGCATTTTTTGGGGGGGGGGAATTTCTACAAACATTGTGGCTCTTCTAATACCGCCCTATTTTTGGCTTCATTTTTATATGTACTAAAAGGAGTTAGGGTCATATTAAGATTAAAGTGCTGCAGCTGCTATGAATATTGTATTTATTTGTAGCTTGCCCATGAGCTAAGAATCTCTAAATACTAAATTTGGAGCATACGATAAAATTCAGATTGTCTAGATCTGTGGCAGTGTCAGAAAGGCACTTCAGTGTCAGTGTCAGAAAGACAAAAACCTATCATAGATCAAACAGATTAATAGAGATTTTTGAAATCCCTACTTTGGCCCCATCTGCTAACAGTAAACCAAATGGCCACACATGCTCAGGTGAAACTTGGTTACTTTTTTCCCACAGGCTGCTGCTCAGTTCAATATCTGATCTCTTTAACAGTCAGAAAAATGTCAGAAAACAAATTTTCTTCCATATGATCATCCTCTTCATCATATCAATGAGACAAATATTTCAACTGGTTAAATAATAAATAGTTATCCAAAAATTCACAGTTGCCTAGGGTACTAATTATGATGCAGAATTAAAGAAAATAAGAAACGACAGATGGAGTTTGCTGTAACTATCACTTTAAAATAATCATAATAAAAAACTAGGGCTCTTTTGAGAAAAAAGGAGCAGGCCTCACTAAAAGAAAAGAACATATGGCACAATAATGTAATTGTGTATCATCACACATATAAGCTGTCTCCTAACACATTTCTAAGAACAGTTTAAGTAGAAGAGATATTGAAACTCTCACCCACATCCATCTTTCCATCATTTTAATGATGCATCCAACAGCATTAATTCAGGCAAAGATTTAGGTTATTTCAACTGGAGCACTGGTGGGTTATATTTGAAGAAATTGAATATCGGCCTGAAGTGTTTTTATCAAAACCAGTTATTTTTGTTTTGTTTTGTTTTGTGATAACAGACAGACTTCTGGTTTCTCAACAATGGTCATATTAAACTTTGGATCAGAACAGTTAGCATGATGAGCAAATTATTTTAAATCCATTTTTTTTCAATTGGTGGAGGAAATATAACCATCATGGTACTAGAGCCTGTTGTCTGTTATCTCATGCAAAACCTGTACAGTTATTTACTTGCACATTATGCCAGCTAGCATGACCGACCACAGATATTATTATATCCCACCGGCTAATGAATTAGTAAAATTTTCAAGCTGAAAGATTTTTCATACATCCTGCTATTCAATTCTGAAAACATCAATTCGATGTTTCTGTTGCTATTTCCACCTAGATGTAATGAAATTTCTGTTTTAAACAATTAAAGCTATTTAGTTGGAAAAAAATACATCTGGAATCTGAATATGCTTTGACAACTTCACAAACCCAAGGAAAAAATTATTTGAAAGCTAGTGATTACTTGCTGGGGTGATAGATTCTGCTAAATCAACTGAAACATTTTATTATTCTGATCAGAATTTATGACTTTAATGTTATTTTGTTCTTAAATTACATTTTCAAACATTTGTATTTATGATATGTTGTTTCTGAGGTTGGGAAGCTGAAGTGATGCAATGGCTGTTACTATAAAATTTTACAAGACAGAAATCAATGAATTTATTTTTATCTTGATTAGTGATCTCTTGCTGTTAATGTATTCCAACTTTTTACTACTTGCATTTTTCACTCTTTCAAAATAAAATTCAAACACATTCAAACCAAGCATAGGGAGAAACATGTTTGCTTACCTCCATCTAATTCTTCTGCACCAAAATGGTTCCTGTAGAATAGCATAATTTCTATCTTGTAGCACTTGTAAATAGTCACTAAACAAACGAGTAGCAGCAGAATAGCACCAAGCCCTCCAGCAAGCTCAACTGTATACATCAGCTCTGAAAAAAGAATAAAACTTAATAACTACCACATTCTGAACGAATCTGTCATTTATTATCATATCCTGGGGTAAGAAGAGTTTTCTACTTTTTTTAATGTAGAAACAAGGCATTTTTCTAGTTTGCTGGTATATATACACATACTTACATACAGCAGGCAGTAGTATTTTGGGTATTTTAGTACAACTGGTGTATGATATACACAATTCATAAGAACTAAGTATCAACCCTTTTCCAAATTTAAATTCTTAAAGACAAATGTACTATTCCCTTTTTTAAAGTACTACAGTTGTATTTTAATGTCTCCCATCTTCTCTGGTGCTATACAATTCATATTCTCTCTTCTACTATATATAAATGGGCTTTTTTTCCCCAATAAAAAGTTGAAAATCATCTCAATTTGTCATTTCTGACATTCTGACATTAAAAGGTGAAATGTTACCACTTTCTTGTGCTGCATTGTACCTTGGGAGATTGAAATCACTGTCAGCTTAGTTTCCAAAGAAGAAAAGGCTTGGGCATATGTAGTTATATGTGTCGACAGTAATCTGTTTGGTAATATAATTTATGAGATTATCATAGTAATGGTAATGTCATCATTGGTCATTGCCATCACATTTGCCAAGCATGTAAAGTCATCTACACTTCCATTTGGAGGTAACTATATTCTTGTTGTTTGCCTTGAAGGTCTATGGTAGATGAAAAACCACTATAAAGCTGTAGTTTCAGACCATTTCCTTCAAAATAACCCCAATAAAGATATGATTTATTTGTACATGATTTCAGTGTCATAAGGACGTTGTGCTGAATTATCATGAATGATGAAGAATTGTATATCATTTTAAAAAGTATTAAACATAGCTTGGCTAGTAAGTTGTGTACCATTTATTTTTAAAAATGGGTTGTGGCTAGAGTAAAAAAAAAAGACAAATAGAAGAATGAAGACTGAAACAACTATGCTTGCACTTCCTACTAACTGACTAGAGTTATTAAAAAAAACTGACTTTATATATTAGATTAAACTTATAAAAAATTGACTGTGCATCTGTGCTTCATTCTACAGATCTAAGCTGTCTGTCATGGAAATATATTGAAAGAGAATGGCATAACCATTAGCTATATCTGTACAGAATTTATTTGGGCCGTATTGTAAAGCATGCATAGGTTCCATCAGTGTTGTTAGAACTGAGGAAGCAAAATGAATACCAGTTTAATGCCCCTGATGGCAATGACATTCAGAACACATGGGTTGTTAGTTTAGGGATATTATTATTTTGTGCTTGTTAGATCAAGAATCTAAGAAAAAGCTTATGTCACAGTAAATAAATTGACTTCAAGATGCCACAGGACCCTTACTCTTTTCTTGAATGAATCTAGCACGTCTAGCATGTCTAACTCTACAAAACCTTTATCCTTGTTGCTTTGTAGGATTTAGTTCAGAGTATATATTATTGCATAGCAACATATATTTCAGTTAGAAAATTGCAAACAGAGAAGGAAAAACATAAGCAACAATATTTATTTTCTGTGTTTAGGTATGTTTATACTTCCATTATGGAGACACATGTGGCTGCTATAAAAGCTTCAGAATTCTCTAGCAGGCAATAAAATGTAATTACATATGATTTTTGTTCATACTGTTCTCTTTAAAACTGTAGTATAACTTCCTTTATATTCTAAAGTTTTTAGTTCCACATATTTGACAGATTTCTTATCTATAGGAAAAATAAATAAACCCACAACAGTTAAATTAAAATCACTATAAATTGGAGTAGAAATTAAATGGAAATAGAAATTATACAGCATAGCCTTACCATAATTCCTTTTATCAGTTTCTGTCACATGTGATGCAGCTGTTCAGCAGTAAACAGAAGATGGGAATTTAATGTGCTAGGTTGCTAAGTTCAAACTACACCATTTATTATCCTTCTGTAATGATGGTGCATCAAAGCAAGGAGAAAATATCAGCATAAAAAAACCTACCCTAGCATTATCAGATTAAACCAGGATGATATCATAGAATTTTTTGTCAGCAATTAAAATATACACTGCCAAATGCATATGCTCCTAGAAACACCTCATTTGGGACCTTTAAATGAGGTTTATGCTTTCATTGTTGCAGCTGTCAAATCCCTGTAGCATATAGGTTTGTTTGTTTCAGTTTAGTACAGTGTGATATAATTTTGTTTAAATGTTTGAGGTCCATGTCCTTGTTCCCTGATTTGGTATACAATCTGTAGTTGCTGTCCACAGCACTGCTCACAATCTAGTTTGGACTGAAGTTTCTGCGTGTAAGCCCTGTCATCCATTTCTGGCTTATAAACTTTTAAACTGTAAGCCCTGAGCTCCCCCAAATTTAAATAGCTATAGGCTATTTGGGAGCTAGGAGTGAAACCCTTCCACGTCAGGTCACTGGAAAAAGGGTGAAATGGTACATCACTCTTCTTTTAGGAAAAAAGCACAGAGAAAAATAGAAAGCTCAGTGAAATAAAAAAAAGGTAATAAAGCAATTCTCTTGGGGACTGAGCCAGCAACCTTTATTCAGAAACAATGAATTTTAACCATTATGCTATTTGAGAACTCATAGAAAGGGTAAGTTTAAAAAACATTCAAAAGAAACAGGGCAATAAGCATTAAAAAAAAAAAACCTGCTTATTGTGCCTGCACATATATGTGCATTTTTGTCTATAACCTTGGAAATACAAATTCAATTTAGCATTGTGTGTATGTATATATGTACATGTGTGTGGGTATACATAATGTGCTGTATTACACACACACACACAAACACACACACATGTTTATGAATGGGAAGAACACCATATATTAAGGAAAACAATTGGCCATTGCTTTCCTGGAACAGAAAGGTAGAGCCAGAGCAGCTGTAGAATTGTACAATGGGAGGATGTGGTAGCCTGCAGTCCAGACTGAATACATTGCCAGCTGTTGCCAAAGTCTCTCCGTCTGAACAAAATTTTCTTAAGCCAATTTAGAGTTAAGCTGGCATGAGCACAGGACAGGAGCAGATTAAACATTAAATGTGGATAAGCTCTAAATCTAATTTAACCACAAAAAATGGATCAACAGAAAAGGAAGCTGCGCAGAGGCTTGGCAACAGAGGTAATGTATGAATGATTTATTGGGCATTATAGGAAATGTTCCTGTAATTGTTGTGGATTCCAGTCATTTTAGAGGCAATGTAAGATCCCATATGTGTGTGGCAGATGCCCACCATAAAATTTAGCCCTTGGAATCCATTAGTTCGATACAGGAACCTGTTCTCCCCTCTACTTTGGAATTCACTGGATGAAATCAGTACAAATGAAAAGCCCAATGGTCCTAAGTCTATATGGAATGTAAACAAGGAAGCAAACCCCAGATATATAAGTGTTATAAATATATAACATGTTGGGTTATCAGAGACATAATATTACATTATATTTTTAAATTTAAATTTAAGCCTTTTTGAAAAGATTTCTTTTACCACTCAAGTTCCTTGGAATGAGATGCATGATTTTTTAAAAAGGGTGGAGGAAAGCAACTGCAATTCAGATCAAACATGCCTATTTTGCTCTTGTGTTCTAATATTAAAATACAGGTCCTGTATTTTTAAAGGAATCAGAACTCTAAAAGCTGTCAATGAAAATTACCAGACATTTCCTATGGGAAATAGCATTATGCCAAGCACAGCAAATAAATGAGTGCTGAATAGCTACATTTGGGGACAAAGCAATCATTTAGCAGTTAACAATATTCTTTTGGCAGCACAAGTCTAAATTTACTCTAAGGCAAAATCCATTAGTAGCAACTGAAGTATGTTTTTTTGGAGGGAGGGGGTTGGTTGTTTAAATAATAATAAATTGTTTTAATTTCCTATAAGCAGTTTGATCACAGCATAGATCTGTTCTCTTATCTGGATAATTAAATCACCAACCTCAGTGAGTGAAAGAACAGCTAATTAAAATAAAATGTTAATATTTTCTGGACACATTGAATGGCATCATGAGTGATAGATGTGTTTATTTTATAAAAATTCTACCATAATTATCAGATGCATTTATGGGCTGTATCTTTCATCTGCACCTGTTTTTAATTTTTGATGAATTTCCTCAGCAATGACACACAGGTAATTTACTTATCATTAACTGCATTTGCGCAGAGAAGTAAATAATGCAAGAATGTTCCCAGAACATTCATCCACCACATATTTTGCTTTTATAGGCTTCCAACTTAATGAACTGTTGTGATATACTATATTTCTATCACGTATAAGTGAATGTGCACTGAATGTCACATTTTTAGAAAATTATGAATTAATATGTTGAAATATATGATTCTCAATTTCATGCTCTTTATATATGACTCTTTCAAATATTTCCTCCGGTTGTTTCGGGCATTGTATTCAAGTATTTTCCATTCTTACAGAAACATGCCTGTTCTGGTCTCCTATTACAGAGGTAGATAATAAATTAATCAGAGTTTATTTTCTTTAAGGACTAAGCACTTAACTTACTTCAAAGGGATGCTAAACTGGAGACTGTCTCTCTTTGAAAGACCAATCTCTAGGTATAAAACCTAGTTCCTAAATTCATCATGAAATCAGAGTTGCCAAATGTGAAGTTCCTGTACCTGTCTTGTTTTCACCTTTATACAAGGCAAAACAGTATCTTTAATTTTGTTTTATTATTGTCAAAAGGCATTGGTTTTATCCAGTATGTTTTTCATTGCTCTCACATATTATTTTGCATGGCTTCCTGGGTTTCTAAATCACTGTTCCATGAAAACTTACACTTGACAGCTTTTTCACAGCTGTCTCTAAACACATTTTAGACAAAGAATCATTTAGCTCACTTTTACAAACAGGCAAATTTTCATGCCATTTGTTCGGCAGTTTCATTAGACATGCAAATTCTGGGCTGGAAATGGAAACTTAGCTCAATAATGCAGAAGTGCCTCAGCTTTTTCTTCTTGATCTCCGTGACAATAGAAAGATTAACAGA